CCATTCTACAGCGATTTAATTCTCTTTTACATTAAGTATAGCAGAATGCATATCAGGCAAAAGCTGTAATTAAAGCTGAAATTAAATGAAAGACTTAAATGCGATGAGGATCTGGATGGGAGTACTCGAGTCTCAGATGTCAGTTTGACGTTTGAGTCCGTTTGTCAGTTACTATCCGTAAATTTTGCAGATCTTTCATGTCAGCTAGCGCTATCAGTTAAAAATACGGGCCGTTCACTTTCTCAACTGATAGTTAAAATTTTGACCAATTCTCAGCTGTCATTTAAGCCCTGATTCAAACCATTTGCCTCTTTCTGGCGATCAATGCGATGTTCTCTCATTCACTGCGGAGATTTTTGGCAATCGTCACTTAAACAAAGACTGACGCAACCATGGAGTCTTCAGGTAATGGGGTGATAATATTGGTTCACTGGGCGTTTTTACGCTTTTGGCATCGCTGTAAAGGGTACTAGACTTAAGTCCATTTATTTTCTTTTTTGATTCGCACAATAATTTTTCCCCTGAAGTTAATCTGAATCTTTCTAGTTGAGCCACGTTTATCCTTGCTGACCAAGTGTTGTAGTGAATAAAAAACCTCAGTTCTAGCGTGATCTAAACTTTACCTCGAGACCGACAAATGTTCTCCTTTAATTCAATCAAACTACACTATTACTTTTTTTTACAAGGAAAAGACATTTTTCGACTTGTTTAAAACATTCAAACAAATTGCTTTTTTGTTTATCTTTACTTGAAAGGAATGGCTATATGGAAAGCAAAACGCCTAATAACTAGATGACGGTGTATATATTCGGAACTGTGCTAAATTTCAGAGCAGGTCCAAATTCCTAAATCAACTGGGCCAGGCCCACGGTATCAATCTTATTTAGGCTTAGCATTTTACTGAAACTCTTGCGTGAGGAAGACGAACGAACGGGACAAATAGTGTAGTGTGAGGGTAGAGCAATGTAATAAAACAATTGACAAGAGTCTAGACACTCTAGAAACTTAGTCATTTACTTCATGGGGCACTATCATGAAACCTAACATGACACATCATTTGTTTCACTGATGCGAAACTAAATGTAATAAGTTAGCTTGGTTAAAACTACTTATGATATAAATGCACTGAACCTACGAAAACGGTGCTATAATTTCTTACTTAGTCTAGCAGGGGGTTTCAAATTCAATAGAAGTGTCTTAAAAAACTGTTAAGATTTATTACAATTTGTTCCAAAAGCACAATTTTCTTCAACGTCCTCTAACAATGACAACAATTAACTCTTATCTTTATCGGGGTGTACTACCTCAGCATTTTGTGTGTGAG